GAAGGAATAACGACCAACCGACCGGAATATATTTTGAAGCGCTCCCTTAGTTGGAAAAAACTCTTTCCTTCTTTTCTAGTCATATGTTCGTCTACACTACGTATATTATAAAAAAAAAGATCAATTAAAAGTTTTCACACAACATGAAAAATGAACATTTTTGTTTTTTTCTTTACATCTCCTTTTGTAATATATCATTAACTGATTGGCTACATTTATATTCTATTCATAGATTGACCAATTGACGTTTTTATAAAGACAAAATAAAATAAAAATGAACGTATGTCATTCTATTTGATTTTTCATCAAAAATAAATATCATTTTTATATTTGCAGTCGATCATCGAAGGTAAAATCAGACAGATAAATAACAACCTTGGCTTGATGGGTGAACATGAAGGATAACACGTAATATAATTTAAAAACATAGTAATTAACATCACACTTATATTTTTTTTTTAATCAGAATAAATATGTTTAGCAAAGTTTTTTTGATACGATGATTTTTCCAAGTACGTTCATATGTAGATAAATCATTGAAGTTCGTATGAACAACTGATCTTCAACATAAAAAAACAGATCTTAAAAAAATTGATTAAATAATAGAACATTTGTCGCTTATTTATAGTATATCTCTCAAATAGATTCAAATAGTTTTGCATGATTTTAGAAGTGAAATGTAAATATTTTTTTGTTTTCGGTCAAAATAAAAACTTGAGAAAGCAAAAACTAGAAATTTTATCAAATCAGTCAAGATGTATCATCTGTTTAGAACTTTAGACAGAGCAGCAAAAAATTGTATGGTTGATTATAACTTAACCCGGTGACTAGTTTTTTTTTGTAGTAATAATTAAGTTCATTAGTGGGACTGTTTCCATTTTTCCAAAATTATATTTAAACTTTTTTTTATATTAAAAATGATTAAATTTTTCACTTTTTTCTGCTGTTTATTATCATTAGAGTAAACATTTCTATCAAATTGATGATGAAAGTGGATTATTAAATTAATGTATTCGGCATTTTTCAATAAAAAGAAAATTATAAAATAGATTACAATATTTTTCTTTCGTTAATAATATATCAGATTCTTCTTGTTAATTCTTTACAAATAACATGATTAACAGAGAGCAGTTATCTTATCCTAAGACTAAAGTCATAACACACTCTAATATTTCATGCATACTAATGATTGATACAAATATTTGAGAAACGTAAAATCATGTGATCTATTCATTTCAAACATGCTTTTCTTCTTTTTCTAAAAAGATGATACGGAATATTGCTATATCTAATTTTTGATTGCTGCTTTGCTAATTGATCTATCAAATTTTTATTTCTGTAAATGTTTACTCTAATTTATCCATTATTTTTATGCTTCTATCTAATATTATCGAAACACTAAATTGTTTGAAACTTTATTTCTGATGCATTCGATTGTATTAGATCGGAAATAATATTACTCTATGGAAGTAGCGCTATAATGTCAAATAGAAGACATAATAAATTTTATATCAAATGAAAGCTTGTCAAAAATGGGGTTTATTGGTACTAAATAGCGAGAATTATGAAAACTTTTTAATGTCGAACTTAAGAAACTTTCAGAAATTTTATACTTTTTTTTTCGGGGTGGAAAATTAAGATGCGAGTGATTCAAAAATGGAGTGGAATGTTTTTCTTGGATATTTTTATATGGTTCGATAGGGCTCGTCGAGCTCTACAAAACTGTCTATATTAAAAAATTTTTAAACAGTGTTCTTGGGTTAAAATTCACTGAAAACTGTCTAAAAAATGTACCAAAAAACCGCATTTTTTTTTACACTTTATAGAGAAAAAGATGGTCTTTTTTACAGTAAATTCAGCTGTTTTCCATTAGTATTCTTATGTAAGATGTTTGAAAATATACTCATTCGATGCAATTTTTCACAGTGCATCGAATGAGTATATTTTGGAACGCCTAAGGGAATAAAAATAATTAAAAAAAAACATGAGTTTTTTTAACATTTTCTAAGATTTTCTAAATAGTTTTTTGAATTTTTTATCGCAAAAATGACTTAAAAATTTTTTAATATAGACAGTTTTGTAGAGCTCGACGAACCCCATCGAACCATATAAAAATATCCAACAAAAAACATTCCACTCCATTTTTGAATCAGTGACACCTTTATTTTCCATCCTAAAAAAATATATAAAATTTCTGAAAGTTTCTTAAGTTCGACATTAAAAGGTTTTCATAATCCTTACTATTTAGTACTAATAAATCCCATTTTTGACGAGCTTTTATTTGATATAAAATTCATTGTATGTTCATTTTGAAATTATAGCGGTACCCCCTAGAAGAGTATTATTTTCGACCTCGCAGACACCTATGAATCTCAGAGTATCTGTAATAAAATTCATTTAAATATTCTTATACTCACATCTTAATGGTGTTCTTAGGTGTCATTGTCATGCTTTTGAAATCAAATGCAAGATTACAAATGTTTATATTTTCATTGTAGGTTGCCACGTAACATTCAGTTCGGATTTTATTGATATTGATGGTCCATTCTTGTTACCCATTGACGAATGTATTCATTCATTGTCATCAATAAATCATACATCTACGTTCGATGGAAGTATTTTATTAAATACCAATGGAGAACTTAGTACGTGTAAGAATCCTATAAATAAAACAGAGCTTTAACATTATTCACTAGAAGTAGAAGTTTTTGTTGATTCTAATTTTATGGATTATAGATAAAAGATTTTATTTGTTTTTTGAGAAGACAAAGAAAAAGAAACTTTCAAAAAGACAGATAGGTTTGATAAAAAATATACAGTGGAAAAAGAAATACAAGGTAATATAATCTCTAAAATAATATACTTAACAAATCTATTGTACTTAGATTATCTTTGCATCGTCTATTTTCTCACGAAATTAATTTTTTCTATTGTTTTATTAAACTTTATTTTGTTTGTCATTTATTTAGATATCATAATGCAAATCATCGGAATTAGATCTACAGTTTGATTCACTTATTTTTGCTCGTTTTCTTCAGTTTACTGTATTTCTGTAAAACTTTAGAAATGTTTTTCTTTTTATTTAATTGGATAGACCATTAATTAATCTATCGAATTGTATAGTTTGCATTTGATTTGTTTCTTATCTTGACTGAGAATTTAGTGAAGTTTTAAAACTTCGCGAAAAATATTTTTTCACAATGATATTTAAGTATAAGGAGAATATTTTCCTTAAATAAAATCTGAATGTTGCGAAAGTGATCTCAGATTGAAAAGATTCATGAAAGACGTGTTTGTACTAAGTATTGAATGAAACCGTCCGATTAATGCAGGATGTATTTAAAAGCTCTCAGTTGAACTAGACTCAAATTAGATGATTCGATAGAGAAATCAACGCTCGATCTAGCCATATAGAAAACAGAAAGATTTATATCTTTAGCGGATTACAAAGGCCTGAGAAAAATAACGAAAATTCATTTAAAAAATCTTTTTGAAGGGGTTTTAGAACTCCACTAAATTCTCAGTCAAAATAAGGAACAAATCAAATGAAAACTATATAATTTGATAGATTAATTAATCTCTATCCAACTAAATAAAAAGAAAAACATTTCTAAAGTTTTACAGAAATACAGTAAACTGAAGAAAACTAGCAAAAATAAGTGAGTCAAACTTTAGTATATTAAATTGTATGAATACATTATGTAGTTATTGTAGCATGTGATATCACCATTTTAAAACGAAATGATTTACACAAAGTAAAACATTTTGTTAAGATTTCTGAAAATTGTTTGATAAACAATATTGTCTTTTCTTATTGATTAATTAAAGATAATGACATGACAAAAATATTTTCTATAATTCAAAATATTGGTTTTTAGCTTAGTTCGAAGAAATATTTGATAATCATTAGAAAACGTGGACACATACAATGACATTATTATTAACTGTAATAATTCGGTTTTCTTTTCTCTTAAAAAAAGAAAACAAAAATTTTGTTTTCTAATCAAAAAGGATCTTGTTTCTTATCTATTTAAATGATCAAGAATTATGTACATGAAAATATCGACGAAATTATACAATTAAGACTAAAAGAATTTTAGATGAAAGTAAGAATGTAAATAAACTAGGCTGATAACTAGCCGATTGGAGGACATTTATTGGTCGATCAACAACCATCAGTTGATCTGTAACGAAATATCTGATTTCATCTTTTTATGAGCAAAGTCAGATCTATATGCTAAAGCTATTATGATGATTTTTAAAAATGTGAACGATGAAAATACGTCCTTCAATCTCTTCGAAATCATATCCATTCATAAAAAGACGAAATTTAATGATTACATTGTATTCTTGGATATTTCTAAATATGAACATAAAAGCGACTTTAGAAGGCCTTTATTAAATAAGAACTAAGAACTGGATTTCACTCAGAGAAATACATTCAAGCCGATTCATACGTTTTATAAGATATCTCACATTATCCTATGGATATCACCAACGTAGTAACATATTTCGGATATAACTGTGATATTAGTAGAATATTAATGACTAACGTAAAAGAGAAAACTATTGAATATGCATTAACAATAAACTTGATATTAATATGTGATCTCGAAATAAGTCGTTAGTAAAATGGTTTGGAAAAACAATAATCATTCACTTACTCGTTCAATACAAATCATTTTTGTTGATCAATGGTCGTTGTATGATATTTCTATAAAAGAAAATTTGTGAATTTTACTAATTTAATTAAACGCTCTTCAAATTGTAGTAGTGCATTTCTATCTACTACTAACAGTCATTTTGAATGTCTATTGGATTTTTTGAAAATTATATCTCGACATATTCATAATATCGTTGCCAATGTAAAATAAATGGAATTAAACTTGTCAACAAAAATATTCACAATTTTTTAAATTACATTGACTTACAGAAAATTATTTAAAGCCACCTCCTTCTCTCGCGTGATCTTTTTTTTTTATATATTCGATAGTAACTAATCGACATGTAATAATAAATTGTCGACATAGTGTTAGTAATTTGAGCAGTTTTTATTATTGCAGACAGTCAATGTCTAGTACTGAGCGAACAGCTATTCCCTTTTCTCCCATAATCAATGTTATATTGGATTGAAGGTCATGACGTATGAAAAACATTAGGATAAGTCGGATGTTTATTTCGAAGGCTGTGATCTAATAAAAAAATAGTAAACGATACAAGTAATGATGTAATAAAGTGGACTCACAAAAGTCGTATTACGCACTTCTTGTTAACGGAATAAGTTTTCTCAATAGATAGTTTATAGAAGATGTCTCTACTTATTACATTAAAAAACTATTAATATTTTCATTCTTTAATCATTTCTTTAGATCAATATATTAGGTTCAGTACCACCATTAAAGGTATGTACAGCTACTGCGAAATTTCTTTGTCTTATTTGAAACATTATTTTTTATGTTAAGTCTATCATTATTCACAATTATCGTCCAACAATACAGCATTACTTCATCAAAGTAAGTTCCTTATGAGTCTCTGCAAACATTCTCACAAAAAGATAAGAAAGAATATGTATATTTTTTCTAATATAATGAGAATAAATCAGGTACAATTGTAGAAAAAGGTTTTTTTTTGATGAAATTTGATAATATAATATAAAAGACTCATACTTTACACGTCATCAGAGATACTTTGTGACGTATTTTAATATCCGTTTATGCGTATTGTTAAATAAGAGACATACTTCACTATGATGGTAGAAGTAAACAGCACAATTAGTTAAAATACGATAGTATGATCATTGTTATCATTTAAAGGATAGTGATAAAGTGAGATTTCTATTAAATATAATCTGTGGTTGTTTTAAATAAAATTATTAATTTGAAAAAAAAAATCTTTAATTTATGACGAAGACAGAGAAGATGTTTACATTTATTAAGAAATTTTTTTATTTCTTATTTATTGTAGTTTAATAAAATCTGCCCATGTAGAAATCGAAATAAATTCATGAAAAAGTTTACTAGTTTCACAATTATTTTTGTTTTTACTTAAATCGCAAAATAACTCAGGAACCTTAATTATTATTCAAACAAGGTTGATGATAAGATAGGCAAAAAGAAACATTCAAGCATAATTTTCCTTTCTGTCACTTTTAATTATGATTATCATATTGATTCATTACGATATTCGTTATGCTTCAGTGATGGTGACAGGGCATGATTTGTTTTTTCGTTATTACCTGCTCGTCATATTCATCTATTACATTAGAAAGTTGGTAAAAATCGTTTAGAATTGTGCAATCAGTATTCGTGTACGCAAATATTGCACTCTTAGAAAATCGAAAATAATTAAGATTATTTTTGTTTTCCTTATTATCGATCAAAATATTTCAAACTTTAACATTTTATATCTACAATAATAATTGAAAATAATATTCTTAAAATAAATATTAATTTCGAGTTTTGAAACTTTTAATGTTTTTTTTCTCAAAAAGTTTAAATAAACTCGAATTAATTGTTCAATAAAATAATACTCATTGGAAATTGAATACGATTGAATTTCATTCAATTTTAGTCACAGATTGCAAAAACTTTTATAGAATGAATGATTTAATAGTGAGAAAAAAATTTATCATTCCTTGTATATAAAAATATTTAGATGTTTATTATTTACGCAATTATCAAAACATCGTTTTTTTTTTAGATGGAATCGTCTTCAGCAACAGCGTACACCCTTTTCCATAATACACTTGAAAGAATCGACTTTTTATTTTAAATATAAATATATGTCGGAATTGACTCGAAAACTCAGTTGCCTTTAAAAGGCAACTAATTAGTTCGATTCTATAGTTAACTTTAAAATGTGTAGCAGTAAATCTTTATTTATATAGTAAATATCATGTTTATTGAATATTCGAATTTAAGAAAAAAGAAATAAATATTAAACAAAGATATATCGTTGTTTAATATTTATTTCTTTTTCTTAAATTCGAATATCCAATAAACATGATATTTACTATATAAATAAAGATTTGCTGCTGCACATTTTAAAGTTAACTATAGAATCGAACTAGTTGTCTTTTCAATTTTGAAGTCGCCTAATTGATTTTGAAATTCTAGAGTCAACTAATTGCCTTTTAAAGGCAACTGAGTTTTCGAGTCAACTCCAACGTATATTTCTTCAAGTCTGTCTTTCAACTCGCTGTATATAATAAACTATTTATTCAAGAAATATTAAATATTTACATTTTTTTTTATTATCTATTCCAGAAACTCTTTTTTTAATTGCGTAATTGTTTTGTTTTTAAAGCTATTTTATTCTTGTTTTTTTTTCTGTGTTATCATAATTCCTTATTATATAGAAATAAAAACTTACAGTATATATATTTTTTGATCACATTTGCATAAACAAAACATCCATGATAGTGAACATTATCTTGAGTTGAGAAGGAGAGACGATTTTGTAAAGCGTTCATTTGTTTAAACATTGATACCATTTCCACCGGCAGACAAGTAACGAAAAAAGTGACTTTTTTACGAGTAAAAAGCGCTCATTTTAACGGGTTAAAAAATTTTTTTTGAAAAACAAAGGAAGTTTGCAAATGTTGACGTTGTGAAACTCATTTTTTTCTCACGAAAGTTTTTTTTAACAGGCTAACACGTATGTTTTTTTCGCAGAAAAAAGTCATTTTTGTTTTATTGGGCTTTCCCCCTGTTATCACTGTCTACGCACTATTGCTCTTCTATCTTTACATGCATATTGCCGCGACTCACAATATTTAAGTCACCAAAGACAAAACTGTGATTTGCCTGATTGATTTTCTCTTGAATATTCACCTTTGATGAGTAGGTATATCGAAAATTACGCCATGTTTGTCATAATTGTGTTAATGTAAAGAGATAATTACCTTGAGGGGAGTCCCCTCTTTCCCGACTCAAAATATTCACATTTTTCGTGTTTCATTTTTTGTGATTAGTATATAGATTTAAATGTCCTCTACCTATTGAGCACACTTTGAGAACTGAAAACCTACATCTTATATATAAAAAAACTCGAAAAAAATCACAAAATATGGGTGTGGGCATGTGGGTGTGGGGTGGGTGTGGGTGTGGGTGTGACGGTGTGAGTGTGGGTGGATGAGTGTGGGTGTGTGTACTTATTTCTTCTGCTTCGTACCCACACCCACATCCACACCCACATCCACACCCACAGCCACACCCACACCCACTCACACCCACACCTACACCCTATGAGCTATATGTTTATTGCAGCTCTAGAGAATTCTGTAAAGAATGATGAAGAAATCACTCCATAAATCGATCGAATGAGGTCATTTTTTATGTAGTCAGTGACAGTGATCAGATCGTGTTTCGCGTTTTAATCCCACAGGGATTGCATTAACAGCTTTATGAAAAAGGGAAAAGATTTTATTTTAGGTGTTAATGAGTAAAGCATTGGTATTTTCCATCTAGAAGGCTAACAATAAGACGACACTAAAAAATATGAAGTAATTGAATTCTAATTTTAGTTAGAACTCAACACTCTATATGAAAATTAGTTGAGAGAAAGAATAATATGCGTAATATCTTAGTAAGCAATAAAATAAATATGCATAGCAGGCTAATATAGTAGTTGAACCGATAAAACAATCAATAAAAATTATATCTGCTGCTTAGTGTGACATGCATCGTGTAGATATTATCATTAAGAGAATAGAAGTTATGCACCAAAGATATATATGACAATACAAGTCATTTTTTTCAATGTTACGATGTTAAATAAATCAAATAATCTTGATCATATATATTAAATTTATAACGCTCAGAGTTTGTGATTTTCACATTTCGGCTCCTCTTGGAGGACGCATTGACAAGTTTTCCAATAATAATCAATACATCTTTATAACTCATTTAAATTATGGCTTTTTCATTATTCTATTGAGAGATACATGTCAATTAAGTTAAAATTATCCAATTGGATATTTTAATTATTAAATTAAATTATCCAATT